TCCTCGGCTTGTTAGGCCGTATGTCATTGTCCAGGACTTGAGGTACAGTCCTGGTGTCTACCGCAGTGTTAGGAAGAATATTTGTGTATTTTCAATATTTGCATTACTTCGTGCTTGCTTTACTCAATGTTTAGGAATGGGTTATGAGAAAAGCACCTGTGTTAGGTGTTTCATGTGTCTAGTAAGCTTGCCAATATGTCCTCATGCGGTGTTAACGGTTTAAGAGGGCAATCTAAAAAATAAAGGTCAAATTCTTCCTTTGATTTCACCTGAGCAGCAAAGTGAGACAGGGAAAGTCTTATCTCAAGTGACACAGTCATTGCCATGTGATCGGGTGAAGAAACGACTAACCAGATAACTATACTTGTATTCTGAATGGCTTCCCCAAGCATCGTGTATACAGTTCATTGTTTACCTAGCAACCAAAACATGTTACACATTTTACAGCCAAAATAGCTCTGGCTCCTGCTCCGAAAAGATTACAGCCTCATCAGTACGGGAAAATCCCTGTGACTCTATATAGAGATAGTTGCCATCCAATTCGTGAAAGTTTAAGGGTTTACAAGTCAGCTGCAGAAGCAAGGCTAAAGAAGGCAAGAGATAGGGAGGTAGTGGAAATTAAAGCATAGATGTAGGGAATCAAGTAAGAGGAGGAAAGGATCTCTGGGACTGGGCTATAAAATACTATAAAATATAGCTTACTGGCTCAGAAATATATTTTTCCCGTGACACGTTAAACTTGTCTGGCTGTTTAACTGCAAGATAAACATTGAAAATACTTTAAAGGGACTGACCACAAGGGATGGATATTTTTCTCCTATGAAATTAAGTCCGTTAATATTTTGTTCTTTTCAGGAGCAAATTATGCTTCTCCAGTCCATGCTCTTGGGGTGGGTTTGGCCCTTTCCTCGTGGTAACTGCAGTTTGACATGTTAATAGGGCAGCTAAAGATCATCAAGTGCTTGCAGCAAGTTCTCTTTGCCCGTCTCACAAAATAGCCACCAAAATAGCCTTGTCAGTTTAAATAGTCAAGAGTATGGTGGTGAAACAAAGTGAGTTCTTCAGTTAACTGAACTGAATTATAAACCTCTGGTTAGCATTTTCAATCATATTTGAATAAATTATTATTAGCATTTAAGTACACCATCATTATTTAACTTGGATAAACTGGATTCTGCCAAACCATCCTGGAATCTGTATTTATATACAGTTAATCATGTAAATACACTTCCAGAAATGATCTTTGTTAACGTTTTTAAAACTTGAATATTTTGGTTTAAATTTCTCATCTGAAAATATTCTGAATGAGTTTATAAGTCTTTTGGACCAGTCTTTCTTACATGCCTTTACTGTGTATCAGGTTCAAACTTTAGAAGTTGACATATAAAGATTTAATTATTTTCTTTCTGAAAAAAGTGAAATCTGAGGAGTGTCCGAATCAAAGATACAGTGTCACTTTTGTGCCACATATAGCACTGCTGACTGGATCCAAACTAAAAATGGGAGTTTCATTGACGGGACTTGAAGTTGACATATTTTATTCCAGGCCTTATGCTGATGAGAATTATGAATATTTTAGTGATATAAATGCATGATGGAACCCTTGCTAGCCAAAAAAAAAAAACCAACAAGACAGCCATATGTAAAAGTTCTAAATAAGAAAGTTGGGAGGACAGTGTTTCAGCAG